ATAATAAAATATTTAATTATTTTCCAATAAATAATGATTTTTATTTATATTTTTAAACATGTTTTGATATAATTTCACCTTTCTCATAAGCGGTGAAAAATATGTCTGGTTTGAATTGAAGAATGGTCACATCAGTTTTTCACATGAGCGTAAATTTGTATATGAAGCGTTATCCTGCGAATGTTATACGTATTATCGTTAGTATAGGTTAGGAATAAAAATAAGCCAATCGATGTAAAGCAATGCGGTGTATATGTGTGTGTGTGCATTTAAAAGTTCACATCCTCGTCTATCCTCGAGATGAGAAAGAGATAAAACTTAGGCGTAGAATCTATTGGCGTTTGTGTCGTCATCTGTCACGACTGAACCACTTCGAATTTTTAGTATAGTTCAGGCGCGGATCCACGGTGGGGCGAAAGGGGCGATCGCCCCCCCAAAGCTTCTTGAAAATTATAAAAGTTTAACACATTATCTAAACTAATTTTCTCTTTTTTTATACCCACACTTCTATAAGGTTTCAATTTTCGAATCGCCCCCCCCCCCAAATTTGCTTCTGGATCCGCCCATGGTATAGTTTTAACAAATTTCGAAATAATCTTTCCAAATTTTCATATAAATTTAGTAAATAACGAAGTGCGCGTCGGTTTAACTTACTTCTGGTTTTTCGTATAAATTTATCAATTTACGAAATAATAATTTCAATTTCTGGAATATATTTACTAAAAAGACTATTGGTAAAAATATACCGATTTTCGTTATCAAACCCAAATGTTCCGCGTTTGAAAAAGAGAATACTAAAATTTCCTATCAGATTTACCAAATATTGCTACTAAATTTCTTTCCGTGTACCTACCTGACAAGAAATTGTAAATATAAGTTATTTCATTTTAAAACAAAAATGTTACTCACATCTGCTTTTGTTGCAAATTTCATATAAACAATTTGACGTTTCACTACCATTCGATATATTATTGTATATCTCCTTCACGGAGAGAAGAGCTTCAGTATATTCTACAAATCACGCTTAGTACAGATTCTATTAAACAGCATAGTCAGAGAAATTACTATAGTTTTGTCACACAAAAAGATTTACCTAAATCTTTCATAATAATGTACCAGCTGGTAGTCAAACGTCAAATTGATTGTACAATATTCGCAAGAAAATATGATTTTATAAATCCTAATATTAGCGAAATTCTAAATCATCTTTGAATACACAATATCGATGGACAGTATCGTTTATTTTGGACTGACTAAACAGTCTGTTAAAATGAACTATTTGTTTAGTAAAATGTAAGGGAGCATTTACACGATTATCGAAAGAAAAAAATGCAGACAGAAGCGAAATGCAGAAATCTGCTTAATTGTGGTCAGCTAATCAGATTTCTGAATTTTTTTCTGTAGGTGAATTTTTTTGTGTGACAAAATAATAGTACTTCCTCTGACTACGCTGTTTAGTAGAATCTGTACTAAACGTGATGTGTAGAATATACTGAAGCTCTTCTCTCCGTGAAGGTTACACAATAATATATCGAATGGTAGTGAAACGTCAAATTGTTTATATGAAATTAGCAACAAAGGCAGACGTAAGTAACATATTTGTTTTAAATTGAAATAACTTATATTTACAATTTCTTGTCAGGTAGGTAATAACTAAAAATTACAAATTTAACAATAAGTCGAAAAAAGGATTAGCTACGATTTTGGTCTTTACGTTTTTTAAAGCTTTAAAGAAAGAGAAATGAAATGCCGCTATCCGATTTTGTCCCCATTTTTGCAAAATCTAAATCTACTTGAAGCCAAGCGAGTACTTTTGAATCCCACTTTTTGGGTTTTTCCTTTGGCACATGTACATAGCACTCACTACCAAAAACATTAATGTAAATACTACCCAGCAAACACGTTCTATAAATGTTATATAACAGTGAGGACACAGTTTTATAGAACATTTGTTACAAGCTGGTTATGAATCTGTTATATAACCTTATTGTAACAGAATTCTAGAACATTGTTACAGGGAAGTTACCGATCTATTCTATATTATGCTAAATTCACAGTTCTGTAACAATGTAATGTTACATTTCTGTAACACAATCATCACAAATAATCTGTAACTGACGTTCTAACATAGTTCTAGAACTGTTTCCAAAAAATGTTATGTAGCTGTTCTAAAATTTTGTTGCAGATTAGTTCTGGATGATATTTGTACCTCAAAATCGGAACAATTCTGCAATAGTGTTACATAACATTTCTATGACACTACAGTCACAAATTTTTTGTAACTAATGTTCCATCGCATATCTAGAACTATATCGGAAAAATGATATGTAACTGTTCTAAAATTTTGATAAAGTTCAGTTCTGGAATATATTTGTACCTGAGATTAAGAATTTTGAAGTGTTCATAAGTACCTTAACTATTTTCTATGGAGTTAATAAATAAATAGTTTATTTTATTTAAGTATGTAGTTAAATTTAAAAAACTCTAAAATTTTTATATATCACATAGTCTTGTTGTTTTTTTATATAATAGCAATACAGTTTTTAAATCCTCCTCAGTCGCAAGTTATCAAATCAATTTTGTATTTATATTCCGATGTTGGGGTAGCGTAATGGTTAGCGTATTAGCCTGTGGAGCGATATTGCTATAAAACAGTTAAAATTTGTCACTGTTCTAACTATGTTTATTTTAGAGTTTCTTTTTTCTAGTACATCAAGTTTTAATATTTTTATTAAGAATAAAAATATTTTGCATGTATTTTTAGGTAATAATCGTGCGATAATAGTTATGTACCATTTTATAGTTGTTACAAAACAGTTCTAGAACTGTTACAAATACATTTGTAACCATATTCTAGATCTATTACAGAATCTTACATATCCGCTGAGTACGACATTTTGCATAACCAGTGACTCACAGGTTCATAACCAGTTACAGAACATGTTCTCAAAAAATTTGTAACAGTTCTATAACTGACCTGTAACAGTGTTTGCTCGGTAGCAATATTAAAACTAATGTTAGTTAACAAATTTACAAAATTGTTGCTATCAAGCATTGCAAATTATTTTTCTATACAAGGAAAAATTCCGGTAGCGTACTAAGTGAAAAAAAAGTTTAGCTTTTAACCACGAAGTATTGTTCAAATAATTTTTAATATCTGATAGGAACAATTTTGTAAATTTGTTAACTAACATTAGTTTCAATCTTGCTAGTATTTACATTAAATAAAAATATGAAAGAAATAATAAAAAAATAAAGAAAAGAGCTTTAAAGAGACTTGGTGAAAAGAACAAAAAAATGTTTTGTTTATATAAAATTGTAATTAAAAATATAAAAATTATTTAATTAATCATTGATTTTGTTAAGTATTATAAAAATACATTATCTTTAAAAAAATAGGAAAGCAAACCCAAATCTAAAACATGTAAAAACAGCGGCAGTATGTATTTGTTAATTAAGGATTGTTTAAACAATGCTATGTCTAAATATTAATTAAAGTAAGTATTAGTCGTTTACCTTGACTAATAATATTGCACATTTCTCTAAATTTTTCATTAATTTCGTAATGAGGAACTAAAATCATTAAAATTGTTTAAACAATTAAAAATTTTTTTTTCAAAAGAAAAATCAAAGGCGTTATGCAGAATTATATCTTATTTAAAATAAGACCTAGAACGTCAAAATCGGTTGAAATTTGTAGGCTCTATGTTAATTTGTCCACGGCCCACTGTGTAGCGTAGAGCGCGTAAAGCTTGCACACAATTTTTAAAAATTCATTTAAACTTATTTAACTCCTCAGGCCCATTCCGGCTCTTTTTGGAAAATCTTCTGTATATTTTAAGGCATGAATAAATCATAAAAAAACAAAATTTAATCGGGCCCAAATTAAAAAAAAATTAATTTGTTTATAAAAAATTAATTTTTTTCATTAAAAATTAAATTAAATAAAAATTAAATTAAATTAATTAAAAATTTAAAAAAATTTCTTAAAAGTTGAAGAAAAAACAAAACTTTTATTCTGTGGCAAGATTTTATCAAATTCAATATTTTCAGAGATATCTGTTTTTTGGCTGTTTTTTCAAAAATAAAAAAATACGTATTTCATGTTTTTTTACAAAGAATAAGAAAAAAATTTATTTACCCGAATTTTAAACCTCGACTATAAATCTCACGTGGAATTTTTATTTCATATAAGAAAAGTAGTTCTGGAACTGGTTTTTTATTTTATTTGTCTATAAGTACACTGAGAAAAAAGCACTATTGATTCAATAGTGCCGATGCTATTGAATTAAATTTTTTTTAAACAATAAATTCTGCATTGAATCAAAGAAGTGTATATTAAAATAGAACAATTTAAAGTTTTAAATTAAAAGCCTAATGTTTTCTAGAGAAACATTTCAAGTAGTTGCGTTGTAAACATAATTTGTTTTATTAAAGACACATTAATTTATTTCAAATAAGAGTGGTAATTAATTTAAACAAAAAGTTATTACAATAAAAAATAGTGTTTTTGGCTTGTATATAAATATATTTTAAAGAATTTTATATGCTTTCAAATCAATAGCACAGGCTGTTGTTATAATAAACGGCTTATTCACATACGTTCGAAAGCATGATGCTATAAAATTGACAGTATGCGTAGTAAAATGATAAGGCCATATTATTCAATTATTACGAATAAGAAATTGATATAATAAAATGTATTTTTTAATAAGCAATTATATTTCTTTGGTTTATTTTAATGTAAATTTGATTTGAACAAATTATTATTTCGTTCAATAATGTATATTTCGTCTTATATGAAAATATTTTGCCGTATTTAACAAAATACATCAAATGAATTTAAGAATGGGATTGATAATAAGATAATAATAAGAACATTAATAATAATGTCGAATACTTTAAATTATTTTAAAATAATTTATGAAAAAAAATTTAAAATATTTATTTTCAAAATTATTTTAATAGTATATTTGATTATATTCCATATTTTTTTATAGAAAAGCTAATCATAAGGAATCATAAGAAATCGAAATCTAGCACTGGAAAATCTATATCGGTAAGAGGACGATTGGCAATAAAATATTGGAACAGAGTAAAGAAATTGCGACTGCTGGATAAGAGTGATAATACTGAAAGTAATACTCAGTCAATGCTATCACTGTCGGTAAGATATTTTTTTTTAATTTTTGTTTAGAATTATAAAAAGAATATTCTATTTTAAGATGTTTTAAAATAAAATATCCCAAATATACACGGAGAAACTTTGTGTATCACTTTTTGTTAAACTCATATGTATTTTTAGTAAGGAGCCGTCCATATACCACGTCGACAAATTTTAAGCACTTTTTGACCCCCCCCTCGTGGACAATCGTGGATTTTTAATTAATTAACCCACACCCCCCCCCCTATTTTTGTTCACGTGGACTTTTTTATTGAAAATTTTTTTTTCTTATTAAAAATGATATCTAGAGAAATTTTTAAAAACGGTAAATAAATAGAAGTTTAATAGTATTCAGAAACATTTTATCATTTTTTCATTAGCTATGAATACCATCTTTGGTTTACGGTATGAATATATCTTTGGCAGCAATATCTTAAATAATTAAAATATGAAAATAATTAAATTATTAAAAACTATAAATGTTTTTAACAGAAATTAAAAAATCTAATAATAATCATCATTAGTGATTTCATTTGCATCTTTGATGGTCCATTGTTGTGTTAACCAATCTGCAATGTTATCAATTGAAACATAATCTATTTCGCTCTCCACCTCGACACAGGACACTTCTAAAAGCTCCGTTTCTTCATTTTCTTCATCCTCTATTTGTTTTTTACGCCCCTGTGAATGAAGGGCTTTAATGTGATCAGTTACATGAGATTTTGCAGCAAAATAAACTCCGCAATATTTTCAAATGCGTTCTAAAATTTAAAAAATAGTTTGTTAGTTAATAAAAATATTTCAAACGAATAGTAGTTTTTAAGGGGGTACGTACCTTTCAGTACAGGCAGTACTGTAGGGCAGTACAAATCATAAGGGAGATTTTGAGGTAAATCCTTCCCTTGAGGTTTCAAATTAATCGGTTGCCTGACATACAAAGGAGAAAATTCATCTTTGTTTTCTACTTCCGAAGTATCAGGAATTTTTAAACCATATTCAGTGCGTCGAAGTGGAAAAGGTGAAGGAAAAAAACCTTCTGGCAATATTTGCTTTATGTCACTGCGTGTCGAATTACAGCAAGCAATTTCATCACATTTGACGATCTAATAGAAAGAGGACAGCATAATTTTTAAAAATTTCATAAATAGATATATAATAATAGCTTTAAGAAGTTAGTTCTACCTGTAAAAAATACTGGCTTTCACGAACATCTATGGCGAACCATTCTGCTGACGGCATTTCAGGAAGTGGAAGTTTGCTGTCAGTGTCGGCAAATTTCGCTATTACTGAATCACGGTGGGTCTGAGTAAAGTTCAACCCAAAGAAGCTTGCGTATCAGAATTTCTTCTTGATTTCTTTTTTAGGATGCCTCCTGATAATTTTGAGCCCAAAAAGAAAAAAATCGCCTGAGCCGTTTTTGAAAAAACTCATTTTTTCGATATTTTGAAAATTCAAATTAACATATTTTTGAAAAAAATATATAATTGTAAGGTTATTATGGGCTTAATTCATTTAAAATAACCGAAATTAATGTTCCATAGGTGCTTAATTCTTTGCAACAATTTTAACCCATAAAAATACTTGAAAAACCGTGAAAAATGTGTTAAAAAGTAGATTTTTTTAAAATTACTCCCTCCCATTGCATTTTAACCGATTAATAGTACTTACAAAAATTAAAGCTTATAAAATTATCTGTAAGTTAAAAAAAAGTCGAACGATTTATCTTTAAAATTGTCAGAGATATGGCCTTTAGAATACAAAAAATATACAAAAAAATTTTTAAAAAGTCAGTTTTTGTGAAATATCTAATGTCTTGTAACCCTAAACATACTGCTACCCACGAATATATTAAAGTAGACATAATTCTGAGTAAATCTAAAAAAAATAGAGGTTTCTAGCTTAATTACAACAAAAGTTGTGACCGTCTAAAAATTACTTTTTTATTTTTACTTGTATAACATTATTTTGTTAATGTCTTAATGTATTACGATGTTAATGTTGTTATTATATTATTATATAATTTATATATATATATATATATATATATATATATATATATATATATATATATATACTGTTCATTGAGAGTCAAAATTATAAAAAAAATGAAGATCGATATTATTTTCACATGCAAAGTTTGTTACAAGCGTTTTATGCGTCTGTTCGTATTTTCGTAATAATATGAAAGAAAATGTCAAAAAATCACGCAAAAACGAATGAGGAAAATAGGCAACAAATTTGCTTATTATGTTTTGGCAAAGCAAAGTAAATGTTTCCGGTGATTAAGCAAGGTAAACTCGAAGCTAGGATAAAGAAATTTACCGAATATGAGCCTGAGGACATTAGGTTACCTTCTGTTGTATGTTCCGGCTGCCAAAGAGATTTATACAGAATTTCACAAGAAGATATTGAGAACAATCGAGTTACGTTACCAAACTTTTCTGACATTAAAGTTATGAAGAAAACGAGATCAAAAAGTTGCACTGTGTGTGATTGCTATATTTGTCAATTAGCAAACACTCCAAAGTCAGGAAATTTCACAAAAGTTGTTTTGCCTGATCGAAAGAAAATGCTATCGGATATTTCAAATATACAAATCTTAGGTAAATAATAATAATAAAAATAATAATAATAATATGAATAATAATAATAACCCCCAGAATAAAAAATTTCAATTATTCAGCTCATTTTGCGTTAATAAATTTTTTTATCAAAAAATATGTGTTTTTAAAATTATTTTATTATCAATTACATATCTAAATCCTCTTTTAGACAAACAAGTTTCAGCAACACCTGTTATTGAAAAACGTTGCAGTTACTGCTTTTCTTTGATTGGAAGAGGTTTGACTCACAAATGCAATTTGACTAGTCGCCTGGAAAATTTGACAAATTGCATAGAACAGTGTGGTCCAAAAGTTGAAGAGCAAGTTGCATCGTCGCTATTAAAGAAAAAATCTAGTGGGAAACAAGAAATTACAACAAAGCTCTCATTAACTCAAGCTAAAGGTGGTCAGCAACTTCGAGTCACTATTGGGCAAAGCGCAGTTGAAAATCCATTAAAACAAGCACTGCTTACTGCAGAAGACTTTTTGAAAATTAAAAATAGTTTCCATTTAAGTCAGAACAAAATAATTAGGATTGCTGCGGCTATTCGTGTTGCTACAAAAGATAGGAAGATCATTGAACCTCATCTTAAGAAAATCTTATCCGCTAAAAGCCATATCGTCGATCAGTATTTCGCTTGTGAAACATTTAAATTTTCCAGAGTCAATTCTAATAAGGTCTCAGAAGAAGAGCAAACGATTGCTTATTGCATTAATCTGGAGGGCCTCATCGAGCATATTAAAGAAACACGTCAGCTGTCAGAATACCATTTAAAATTTGGAATTGATGGAGGTGGCAGTTTTTTAAAAGTATGTTTGTCGATCCAATCTACTGAAAAAAAGGAAGAACTGAGTGGATGTCGTCAACGATATAATGATGGCATTTCTGCAAAAAAGTTTAAGGATTCTGGCGTTAAGAAGTTGCTTGTCTTAGCACTAGTACAGTGTGCTCAGGAAAATTATCAGAATGTATTGTTGCTATAGTCTATCATTAAAATTCATAACTTCCAAGGGACTATCGCAACTGATTTAAAACTCGCAAATATCTTGGTAGGTATAATGTCCCATAGCAGTTCATATCCATGTACTTGGTGTTATGCGAAGAAAGGAAATCTTGATGAACGTGGAATTTACAGAACTTTGGGCAATATTATGCAAATTTATAATCTTTGGTGTGAATCAGGATCTCGAAAAGAAAAAGCTAAAAACTTTTGCAATTGCATTCATCCACCAGTTTTCACTTCGAATGAAGATAAAACCTTTCTTCAGATTATTCCTCCGCCTGAATTACATTTATTGCTGGGTGTTGTAAATACCTTATTCGATAAATTGCTAGCTGAATTCGAAGATGATGCTACAAAATGGGCGAGATTATGCAACGTCCAACGAGAAATAACTTACGGCAATTCTGGATTCAATGGAAACTCTTGTAAAAAACTTTTGAAAAAGTAGATTTGTTGCGTGAGATCAGTCAAAAAGAATGCTTGAAATACGTAAAAACCTTCGATGATTTCAGAGCTGTAACAAAAACGTGTTTCAGTAATCACCTGGATCCCAACTTTGAGGAAACAATAGAAAACTTCAGAAGTAGATACTTAAATTTAGGCATTTCGATTACATTGCGTAACAGACTTCTGTAATGAAATGAAAGCAGGACTTGGATTCTATAGTGAACAGGCAATGGAGTCTGTTCACTCCGATTTTAAAACAGTTTGGACAAAATACAAAGTTTCCAAAGAACACAGCGAATATACGAATAGACTATTACATGCTGTTTGCGAATATAATAGTTTTCATTCATTTTAAAAATTATGCAATTTTTGTAAAAGGTTGTTTAACCTTGTTTGTGCACAGTAATATATTTGTTCTTTTTTAATTTCTTTAATTTAAAGTTACTGTTTTTTAACTAACATTATCCCAAGTAAATAAATAATTGATGTTATAACAGTAAATCCTAAAAAAGAAATCAAGAAGAAATTTTGATACGCAAGCTTCTTTTGGTTGAACTTTACTCAGACCCACCGTGAAGGGTGACTGCTTGAATTGACATTCGACGATATGTTTTTTCGTGAAATTTAATTTTCGATCAAATGCCAAATTTTAGTAGTCAGACTAAGAAAAATTGATATCTTTGCAGTTTTTTCCCACTTTAGTAGTCAATTTACTAAAAATACATAGTGAGTTTAAGAAAAAGTAATACTTAAAGTTTCTCCGTGTAAATTTGTAAAATTATAAATTATTATTAATGTTCATAATATACAAAGCGTATTTTTTTAAGAAACTGTTGAAATAAGTCTTAATTGGCTGAGAAACAATAGATCACAGTGGGATCTTATAGTCCGTCACTGGCAAGTTACTTCTGATATTCGAGAAGTGGAATTCTTGAACGGAAAAAAAATCTAGTCTAAATTTATCAAAAGTGTCCAATTTTAAATCATCCTGAAGCGCACAAATTAATTCTACAAGATTTTTCACAGTTTAAATTCACTGACGATGAAATAAATTACGACGCTGCAGATGAATGGTCCGAATTTTTTGAAAAAGTTCAAACAGTTTGTCCTCTTGATTCGACAAAAAAAAGATGCTCGGATTCGTCATTTATTAAACTTGCTCTACACATGTGAAATAGAATGTATTACAATTATTTTCTCGGCGAACTAATTAAAAAATTGACACACTTTTAAATTAAATCATTAACTTTTCATAGATAACAAAGCAGTAATTCAACTACGTCTTTTATCATTCCTTGTTGCTCTCAAAGGAAGACAACGCAAACCAAATAAAAATGATTGGAAATACAGTATGTTAGAGTCAGAAGAAAGTACTGTCCAATATGCCGCGGTGACTTAATATTATTAAATTACAGTAATTTTCAAAAATGTATTCCAGAGAATAAATATTTTGATACTAAATTTTATATTATATTCATTCATTCATTATATTCAATTTTTTAGACTATTGACGATATTACTCGGATTTGCAAGGACTTTAAGACGGCTATGAGCGCGAAAGGTTTAAACAGAGATGGGTAAGTATCATACTTCATGTATGTTACCTAAGTTTGCTACGTATGTTACATGTGTATACAACTTGTCCAGTTTGCTACACAACGTTTGTTACATTTCATGACGTAGGCACTCGTAATGGTCAGAAGCAAATATAACCTCAATCTAGTTGGTTCCGCTATGTGCTTAGTCTTTGAATTTTTGTTTGATTGATTTGATTGTTTCTAAAAATCAAAAAGATCTATATTTAATTTTTCAGAAGCATTGACGAGATTTTTTTGTAGGATTATAGAAATTCAAAGTAAAGAGTAAAGACATATAAAAACACTTATAACTTAATAAAAATTATTAAACTGAAGTGCAATAAATTATTATTTAAAGAATATTTCATCTCTTTATATTTACCAGTAGATCTATTTACCTGAGTTGCCTGAGACATTATTATAATTTATCTGATAAGGCCAACGCACAATAGATTCGCGAAAGTCGTTCGCGAACGAGATGCATGAGATAGAAAAGGATACGAATATATCTCTGTCCTTTTCTAACTCATGTTTCACGTTCGCAAACGTCTTTCCCGAAGATATTCTGCTTAGGCTTTTATGATGATGAGGCGAGTTCGAGTTGACATCCAAAAAGTGAGGTTATATTTATAATATGGTTTGCGATGTTTGCGACAATTTGTTACGTATACTACACATTTTAGGTATCATACGTAGCAAACCTTGAGTTTGCGACATTTACCCATCCCTGGGTTTAAAAGTTCGACCTTCTATTCTTGTCGTTGGTCCAGAATTAAATCCAGTGCAAAGTGTTTACGTGATTATCGATGACGTAAAATACGAAGTCGAATCTGTGATAAAAGCAATTGATGTTTGTTTTAAATCCTTTTATGTTTTTAATTGTAGTTCCCGCCCGCAAGTCAACACATTTGGCTTTTGATCCTTTTGTCTAACCGACATCAGGAATTTTAGTGCAGAATAAATTCCTCTTACATTTATGACTCGTTTAAAAGGTTTAGAAGTTAAAGGTGATAAAAATTGGGCAATTATTTCGTGGAAATTCCTCTAATCATATAAAACAATGGGAATTTTTCAACTGTTGAATATAAAGTATTATATTACAAGCAATCCCCGCAATCTGACTATTTTCCAGAATTTTCCCCCCTTCTCAAACTCGTAACCTGACCATCTTCCCCAACTACTAAAAACCAATGATTTCAGGACAACATTATTTTGAATATGATAATTTATATCGTTACGTTGTAATATAGAAGTAATATTGTAATTCATATATAATTAATAATTACAATGTTAATGAATATTCATTATATCAGCTTGATAAAAAATTAAAACAAAATAGACGAAAAATGAATTCAATTTATATTTGAATTCTTAATATTATTATAAATAATTTTCTATTAGTAAAAATAGAATGAATTATTTTTTGACTGTTAAACAGCAATAACTAAATAAATAATTATTAAATAATTTATTTTTATTAAAATTATGTAATTATTAATTAGGACTTTTATATTTACATTAAAATTTAAATTATTATAAAATGTTTTTAATTAATTAAAAATAATTACTTTCGTTTACAAAATACTCAATTTTCAAAAATATTTTCGTTTTAATAAATTTATATAAAACTGATACCACTAAAATTTGACCACTGGACACTATGTATACATACAGCACTGTTCGCGTACGAGAACTGACACTATTCTTAGTCAGGTTGCGAAGATACGAAATGGTCAAGTAGCGGGGATGGTCAAGTTGCGAAATATGCAGGTTGCGGGGATTGCCTGTAGTTCTATTAAATAGAAAAACAAATAATAGCAATTTATATTAAGTGTTTAAACAAAATTTTGTAGTTTTAACACTAAAATTTTTTTTTGTTTAAATAATTGTTTTTCTGAAGTAATGTTAAATAGCCTTTAAAATGTTGATATTGTATCTAACATTTTACTTTGAAAAACAACGTGTTTGAATTGCACGACTTGCGTTTAAATTTTGAGCTGTATTCTAATTTAAAGTCATAATCCATCACTGTCCATTATGCTTTGAATCATGTACAACAGAAGTTGTTTTTATCAATCATTGGAAATGTAAGCATACCACTATTAATTCCACATTTCGTTGTAAACAAGAGAAATGTTTTCGAGTTTTTTTTATGTGAATCCTTTTAAGAAATATTTAATTCGCGCCCACAATTAGAATCTTCTTCATCTGAGCGTATGGATATGGCAGACGATCTGGCTCCAACTTTATCAAACTCTAGTTCAATGATTGATTCTTCTTGCCCTGTTGATTCGACGAATAGTGAAATTTTTAAAGCGAAATCACAGAGTATCACACCACGACAATTTGTTGGAATGTTGTCGAAAAGTGTGCGTCTATTTGTTGCAAAAATGTATGCAAATTTATCTGTACCTCGATCTTTAGTTTAAGAAATTGTTAGCGATGTAAAAATTATTACTGATCACATTGGAATATTAAAATCTATACATACTCCGAATGAAACACTAGAATCCGAAAATTTAAATCAAATGTCTGACATTTTTCAGAACGGATTTATAGATCATGAAACGGAACACCGATCTCTGGGTTATTTTGAAAATCTCAAACTATTTCCTATATACCTATTAAAAAAGTATTAAAAAAATTCTTGGAACTTCCTGGAGTCTGTAATGCAACTTTATCGTTCATTGAGAAAGCTGAAAAAATCGAGAAAATTATTTCTGTCGTACAAGGAACTTTGTGGAAGAAGTTAAAACAAAAAATACCAGAAACAGTGATTTTCTCTTGTTTATTTTGACGATTTTGAAATAAATAATCCGCTTGGAACTCATCGAGGTTTTCATAAAATGGGGGCTGTTTACTTTACAATAGATTTACCTTTACAATAGATTGCATTCCAGACGAATTTGCAAGTCTTTTAGAGAATATATTCCTTGCACAACTTCATAACACGCAAGATTATGATGAATGTGATAACGAACAAATTTTTTGGAAATTACTCGAACAGCTCACTGAGTTAGAAACGACTGGCATCAATATTACTATTAATGGTGAACATATAACCGTCAAATTTGCAATGTTTATTTTTGCAGGAGATAACTTGGGAGTGAAAATGTAGTGCATTAGGTAATACTAAAGGTTTTAATTCTAACTATAATTGTAGAGGATGCATAACTGATAAAGAACAGCGTCAAAGTCTTGTCGTGGAAAATTCTACACTTATGCGAACAGGGGAAAATTATAATTCTGATGTGAAAACAAAGACAAGAGGCATACGAGAGAAATGTACTATTAAGCAATTAATTAGTTTTAAATCATTCGAAAATTATGCTTTTGATCCAGATAATGTTGGGAATTCTTCGAAGTGAAATATTGTGTGCCATCTTCTAAAAGAGTATCCAACTATCACTTTAGAAATTGTAAATGACAAAATTCGATTTTTTAGAATGGATTAGATTTAGATTAGAAATGAATGGTTAGAAAATGGGCAAATTATGTACACTGCAACCGAAATGCTGACATTTGTTTAGTATCTTCCTCTACTGATTTGCCTTCTTGTTTTAGACAACGACAAATATTGGCATTTATTATTGTTACTTCAAGAAATTGTTTTGATTATTTATGCCCCAGAATTTACTGCAGAAGATGTACAAAAATTAGAACGTCTTATTTCAAAACATCACCGTTTATGTAAAAAACTTAAAATTAAATTAACGCCGAAAAGTCACTTTTTAATTCATTATCCTAATATAATACGAAAAATTGGGCCATTAAAATCCATTTTAACAAGAAAATTCGAAGCCAAACATCAAGAAAATAAGATCTCGTGTTCATCCTGCGTTTTCGATATCGTTGAAGCAGCAATTGCATCCAAATTACCAATTTCTTAAATGTACAGCTTTTGAAGAACGATTAGTATTAGTTGTTGTTTTATGCAAAGGCTTGAATGAAATTGAGGATTACGAATCCTTTAAACATGTCATTCCGCACGTTGATACAAAGAAATGGTCATTAACCGGTTGGATTGAGTATTGCGGTACTAGATACCAAAGAGATATGATTATAACAATCAGTGGAACAAAAGTTCAACCCTGTTTTGGAATAATTGCGTATATAGTGGTTAGTGAACTACACGAAGCTTACTTCTTATATAAACAAATTAAAATTTTAAAGTTTATGACTTATTAACAAGCATTTGAGGTTCAAAATACTCAAAATTGGGAATTCATTTCGCAGAAATGTCTTTTATCATATAAAACCACGGGAATGCATAGACTGTTTAATAATAAGTATTATATTGCTACACTGAGAGACCTTTTGCACCGTTACAGACTTTCGACAGACGGCTGCGGAGCATTCTAGCGGTCAGCTATGAAACTACGTTTTTGGTCTGCAGCCGTACAATTTTTGGAGCGTATCTGTCCAAAAAATTGACCGCCGAAAGGTTCATTTTCATTTTTGGGCAGTCACGATACAAAATTTAGAATCCAGCGCACCAAAACCTATTGTGGCGCTGCAGTCACACACGTAGTTCTGATGCGATGCAAAAGGTCTCTCAGTGTACTATTTCATAAAAATGGAAGTTCCATAGTAGTTCATTAAAATCGTTAAGAAAACTAATTGTGATTTTAATAAGTTAAATGTGTTGTGTTTAAAATGTTTAAATATTTTATACGTTTTTGAAATAATATAAAATAGCGTTCAATATGTTGATATAGTACATTTTATTCGCATTTAAGGAGTAATGTGTTTAAATTGTATTTATTTGTTGTTTGAAGGTTGAAGAGAAATTTTATTATTTTATTCAATCTACGTATATTACATATTTTTACTCTAAATCATTTGTACTTTAAAAATATTTTTTTCGTGCTCCTTAATTTTTATGTATCTTACATAGTCAAATGTAAAACATTGCATATTTGTAATATTATCAAAAAATTTGATTACAGTGTCAAATTACAAGTTACAAACATTTAAATTCAAAAGAAAAATAAAACTTT